TGTGTGTGTGTGTGTGTGTGTGTGTGTGTGTTGTTATTCAGTCAAATTATTATCATTATTATGTTGTCTGTGTGTGTTGTTGTTGTTGTTGTTTTTTGACGAGTTGAGCGCGCATGAATGGTATAATAATAATAACATCATAACACCGAACTTACCAGGTGTGTGTGCTCAATGGTAGCAGAGACTCTGTATATAACCGAAATTCTAAGCTTTCTGGTGTTGCCTCAGAGGAAGAGGTCAAGTAAACTGGCCCTAAAGTCTAGTGAACGACTTGATAGCCCCAACCAGCGTAAGAAGGAGATATAATATTCTGTCTTTCGTCAGCGTCTTAAAGCCTTGCACAGGTCAAACATAGACATTGCATGTCGTGGGTCTGATAGCAGCTTGACAAAAGTTGATACCGAAAGATATCGGCAGATAAAGAAGACACGATCATGATCATCGATGTTTCTATATAATACCTCGCGTACGTTATCGTGTTGCAGGGCAGGTAACAGGCTTTTGTTTGCCATAGTTGTTTGTTTAGTAAGAGTTTTACGGCGCTCTCAACTCAACTGCATAAGATCGTTTATGAGTGCGCGAACCACAAGTTGGTTGCATTTGCAATGGTTTACAGCACGGCTTGGGTTTGGTGAATGTTCAGATTAAAATGATTAAAGTAAAAAAAAAAGGAAATTTACACTTAATTAAAATAACGAAATTTATATTTTACTGTAAAGGCCAGTGGGCTTTATAAAGTGGAGGGTCCTGTTGGGATCAGCGATGGAGAACAGATCTTTCCAATTTTACATTTATATAATACTTTTTCTTCATGTCTTTCCAAAGTCCGAATAAAATTCTGTTAGTATTTGTCTAATGGTAAAGTCAGTATGACATCCGACACAGAAGGGTTTCTCCTCTCCCTGCAGGAGGTATTTATGTGTCATGGAAGTTTACCATTGTTAATCATGTGTGATGCAGCGTGGTGGAATCAGGCTCTCGTCAATTTTTGGGCATGTAAGGTTATTGGTATCATCGTAAAGGTGTTCACTTGTGTTTATTTCGATGAAAAAAATATCCATTTATCTTGAATACAAGTCGAGATATTTGCGAATGAAGGAGGCGGGGGTCACTTGTTTTCCGAAGTAAAATTAGTGAGAAAATGGCAGCCAAAGATTAGTTAATTCCTTAGCTTAAGAGTCCGTGGTAACTGAAAATTTACATTTTTTTGCCTTTAATCAACGTTTTTCAGAAAAAAAAACACACAGAAATGTGTTCTTTAATGGGCATGAAAGGTGTTGAGCCGAAAAATAAAAAATTGATAAAAATTCACAAACCAACAGAAAAAAGCAAGTTTCTTCACTTTGATTATTTTGACGAGAGCCTGATTCCATCACGCTGCCTCACATATTGTTATGACAGGCCGTGTCTGTGGTGTGGATATTTGGTGCTTTGCAATTGTACGCAGGAGACCTGAGCTCTATTCCCGAGTGGGGAGAATAATTATGTGAGGCAGCGTGGTGGAATCAGGCTCTCGTCAAAATAATCAAAGTGAAGATTTTGCATTTTTCCGCAGGTTTGTGAATTTTTATCAAATTTTTGTTTGCAAGTGACTAAAAACAGGTGACCCCCACCTCCTTCTTTCGCAAATATCTCTCAAGACAAATGTATATTTTTTTCATTCAAGTAAAGACAAGTGAATAAGCTTTAAGATGATACAAATAACTCTACATGCCCAAAATTTGACGAGAGCCTGATTCCAAAACGCTGCCTCACATATTTTTCGAGCATCACGCAAGGAGTTTACAGTAAGCTCCTTGGCATCACGGCCTTTCTGCCTGGATGTTGTATATCTCTCAGCCCGGGTTGACCCTGACAAAACAGCACCTGAACTCTGTCGAGGGGATTCTCGTGGTCTAGAGGTTACGGTGCTCGCCTCTCATTAAATAGGTCCCGGGTTCGTTACCTGGCAGCGACGGAAAAATTTTCTTCTCCCGAAAAAAACAACCTTTCTCCGTTCACCTTTCCTGCTCTCTCATCATGTTCTGTCCTTCTGCTTTCGTCTCCACCTTCCGCCTCCCCACCTCCCTCCTCTGGGCTCCTGACTCGTTCTGCTGCCTTTCTACTGCTACTCCTTGGCTGCTTACTGCTGTCTTTCAACCACATCCCTGATCTTCTGATAGATAAGATCTAACACCTAGCCTTTCCGGATAAAGGGGAAAAATCTCGGAGGTCCGTGTGCAATTTGTGCACGTTTAAGGTCCCTTGGAATTTCTAAAATCGGTAAGAATGTACATTTTGTTCATCCAAGTAAAGACAAGTGAATAAGCTTTAAGATGATACCAATAACTCTACATGCCCAAAAATTGACGCGAGCCCGATTCCACCACGCTGCCTCACATATTTTTCGAGCATCACGCAAGGAGATTACAAAATTCAAAATTAATTCCTTCCAATCTGAAATTGTGTAACCTGTCCCGCGCGCTCATGTGTCTCTATACAGTTGCTACCACGATAAAGCACTTACAAAAAGAAAAAAAGGTCGAATATTGATTATTGTGGTCATGAACTGGGTTTCCTTTTAAATTTGTCTTTTTTGCTACACAGCAACACCAAGAATCGGATATTATTTATTATGTGAAGCAGCGTGGTGGAATCAGGCTCTCGTCAATTTTTGGGCATGTAGAGTTATTGGTATCATCGTAAAGGTGTTCACTTGTGTTAATTTGGATGAAAAAAATATCCATTTATCTTGAATACAAGTCGAGATATTTGCGAATGAAGGAGGTGGGGGTCACCTTTTTTCCGAGGTAAAATTAGTGAGAAAATGGCCGCCAAAGATGAGTAAATTCCTTAGCTTAAGTGTCCGTGGTAACTGAACATTTACATTTTTTTTTTCTTTTAATCTACGTTTTTCAGGAAAAAAAACACAGAAAAGTGTTCTTTAATGGGCATGAAAGGTGTTGAGCCGAAAAACAAAAAATTGATAAAAATTCACAAACCAACAGAAAAAAGCAAGTTTCTTCACTTTGATTATTTTGAAGACAGCCTGATTCCACCACGCTGCCTCACATGTATTAAATACTGTTGGTAACGACAAAGAAATTACATCAAAGAAAAAGTCGTTGATCGAAGCAGGCGTCATTTTCGAGTATTGTAGTCTTCAGGTAAACGTCCATCGTCCGAGACCGCGCCATTTAAATTATTGACCCATAAAGATAAAGGCCAGTGGGAATGTACACAGCGTTAAGAGACCAAAATGAACTGCAATAATAAGTTATCAGTGTACCTGTTTTTACATAACCGTTTAATCCAGGACATATGTGAGGCATCGGGGTGAAATCAGACGCTCGTCAAAATATTGAAAACAAATAAACAGTCATTTTTCTGCCTCTTGGGCATTTTTCTTAATTTAATTTTTGTTTTTCTGGCTCAACACATTCTATGTTCATTTTAAAAACACATTTCAGTGTGAATTTTATTGAAAACTGATTAAAAGCACACAAAAATGTAAATTAGTAGTTTCGAAGGACTCTAAAGCTTTGGAAGTCACCAAAATTTAATTTTGGCAATAATTTTCTCACTAATTTTACCTCTGAAATCAGGTGACCCCCACCTCCATCAATCTCAAATACCTAGACTTCTATTCAAGATAGATAGGCCTAGGTATTGTTTTCTTTGAAAAGAAGACAAACGAACAAGATTTAAGACGGTACCAATAACTCCATAAGCCGAAATAAATATTGATTCCACTGCGTCATGACACACAAAATACGAAGCTTGTCCAAGCAAACTGACACAGATTTCCTATTAGGCCCAAGTACATTATCGTTATACTACTTGTACATCTAACCCCGCTAACGTCATTAAGGCATTTAGAATTCCTATAAACAGAATGCTTAATAAGAATCCTGATCTATTGATTAATTGATTCATTATTTTTTATTTTTTTTGTATTCTTCATTCTGACTCCAACGGGCATAGAATAAATGTTGTTTTCATATGAGGCTTTTGAGTGAGGCTACTTGACAACTTGAATAGTTTTTCAAACTTTGTCGGTCCAGATCCATTTCGTCAGTTGGTATCAGGATGGTATTTTGAAAAGTTAATTGCATTCCTTATGGTGGGAGACCATGATTTATCCAGTTAGTGAAATTTCTAGTTTTAATCACTTGTCGAAACTCGTTCTTACAACTTGGCAACTTCACCCGTAGTATAAATCATTAGCTACCACCATAACTCACTCAATAAATTCTTTAATAAAATGTCATGTCATAGTATATTGTATTTTGTCACATTTGAATTTGGTCGCTTTCAAGCACAACGGGGCTATCTCGAAAAATACTGTTTTGAGAAAAGCGAATATAAAGTTCTTTAAAATACAAGGAGAGTTTTCTCTATTACCAAACAAATCTACACACCAATGAAACCAAACTTCTCCTATAGGTAGGGCAGTGCCCCTTTTTGGTGCAGGTCAAGATTTCTGGAAACTCCCGAAATCTGGGTTAGTCTGATTTATTATTTTCTATCACATAAATATTATATTATATTGTGTTCCAATATCTTGCATTGTGTTCAATAAAATCAGTCGTTTGTTGGCTGGTGCTCTAGTGGGGTTTGCTCCTTCTTTCATATCAATGAATGTCTATCGTCCTGATCTCTCCTCTATCTTTTTTGTGTTTGTTACTCTCTTGTAACACCTCTACTCTCCGGCATGTATTTGAACTTATTGTGTTGCAAATGCCGTAAAACTCTTACTAAATTAAAACCAAATCTTATCACAGCATATAACTGAAACTCTAACTGAAACCAAATCTTATCACAGCATATAATTGAAACTCTAACTAAAACCAAATCTTATCACAGCATATGATTGAAACTCAATCTAAAACCAAAATATAACTGAAACTCCAACTAAAACTAAATCTTAGCACAACATACATATTTTTCTCTCTGTCTGTTCCAGCATCGCTTTGTCAGCATCAGAAACGGCCGCCACAGACGACGAGGAGAGTGGCGAGGAGGGCCATGTGGAGAAGAGAAGCATCTGGGCTCGTCGCAACAGGCTGGGGTTCAACAGCTTCCGCCGCTACTTCAACAAGAGGCCTTTTGACGAGCTGGCCAGCGGACTCGTCGGGAAGCGATCAGTGGACGCCAAGCTAGAGACTCAGGAGAAGGAGAAGGCCAAAGCCAAGAGACCTTTTGATGAGTTGGGGAGCGGGTTTATTGGAAAAAGACCTTTTGATGAGATTGGTAGCGGTTTTATTGGAAAAAGACCTTTTGATGAGATTGGTAGCGGTTTTATCGGTAAAAGACCTTTTGATGAATTGGGAAGTGGTTTTATTGGAAAAAGACCTTTTGATGAATTGGGAAGTGGGTTTATTGGGAAAAGACCTTTTGATGAGATTGGTAGTGGTTTTATTGGAAAAAGACCTTTTGATGAATTGGGAAGTGGTTTTATTGGAAAAAGACCTTTTGATGAATTGGGAAGTGGGTTTATTGGAAAAAGACCTTTTGATGAGATTGGTAGCGGTTTTATTGGAAAAAGACCTTTTGATGAGATTGGTAGCGGTTTTATTGG